CGTCGCCACGACCCTCTCGTCGGCGACCTTCGCGGGCAGCGAGGCTACGGCCGAGCCTCTCCCCCGCGGAGGCTTCGCGCGGTCGGACGTGGCTGACCGCGGCTCCGCTCACGCTACTCGCTGGTTACTCGCCGCCTTCCCCGTGCCCACCTCCGCGCGAATCTCGGTCGCTCCGTATCAGCCGGGGCGATCACCGAACGACGACGGCACGAGAAACGGAGAGTGAGAGTGCGAGCGCGGGGGAGATGGAGTCAGTAGTACGAGTCCGACGTGGGTCAGCCAGATTGTACGTCCGACGCGCGATTGTCCCGCGCAAGCTCGGGGCCTCGGCGTTACCGACGGAAGACAACGCTGAACTCTTTCCTCGCCGGATTTCCTCGGCTTGTTCTTCGTTACCAGTCTGATCCCAGTAATTGTCTCTGTCTTCTCTCTTTTACTTTACCTGTAGATATTGGCGAGGATACGCCTGTGCGCCTCGTAATTAGCTTTATATGGCAGACCAGCGTGAACTTAATGAAACTAATTAGCACTGGCGCTTCACCATTGTCTCGCGATTGAATTAACTTTGATTGGCAAATGTTCGGCTTTAGTCTTCACATCGCAATCCGACGGCTTTCGCGTGGGTATTCGCACACAACTGGAAATTCAAATGCTTGAAACTCGCGTCGCCTTCCGCCTGCGGCTAAGCACTAACGGTCGTTCGAGCGAAGATCTTGGGCTTGAGCTATCTCGAATTTCGACGCGTGGCGCGCATAGCAAGGGTCAGCGCGAGACGCGTACCCTCGTTCGCCGGCCCTTTCGGGCATTCGCATTCCCCCGGGGGAGGCTGATTCGATTCCCGTCGGAGGGCACTACACGCGCAAATTAAATCGAACATCGCCGAGTGCCAGCCGTTCTCGAAGCGGCCAGCTTCGCGACGAACTTTTCCGGAGTGCCGCTTTCGAGCGCGCGCGAGGCGTGCAGGCAGACGACGGCAGTTGCTCGGACGCGAGTCAGTCGCGGAGCACGATGTGCACTGACCGTCGGCTGGACGGCGTAGTAGCAGGCCCGAGCGCCGCGACAGCAGTTGAGCGCGTGGCAGTCCTCGGCCGACTGCTGCAGCTGCTGCGGCACGATCTTGCCCTGGTCGCTGCCGACGAGGCTCGGGCACCTCGGCGGATCCGGCCAGCGGTCCAACGAGCTCCAGCTCTTTGCTTTGCGCCCCAGCGCGTAGTATCTGCGGAACAAACTCCCCGGCGACTGGCAGTGCCTCTTCCGCGCGATCCATACTTCGACGGAACTCGCTGGCGACGCGCTCGATGCTCTCCCATAAGGACGGCTCGTCGCCGAAAGTCCGCGATTTTCGAGATTTTGCCGGCGTCTACGAAAGGCTCGATGTTGCCGGGTTCCGTTGGGCGATGCGTGCCGCCACTCGAGAACCAAGATACCGTGTCGCGCGAAATTTCGGTTGACGCGCGTCTCGCACACTCTTCTCGAGGGGAACGAGGCGCTACGCCGTGCACGCGCGGCGCATTCTCCTCCGATTCATTGTTCATTCGGAAAGATATAGCTAAGCAATCGATACGCGGATGCTGCGCTCGTGCCGCCTTTATTCTCCGCGTGGAGTCATCATTAATACACCTTCTGTATACAATGGCGGCTGGTTAATAATGTTCGATTATCGATTCTACTTTGTGTCACTACGCACGTTATCAAAACCAATTTCGTAATGGCTCACCGTTCGATTTGACAGCTTCGCCATTCGTTCGAGCGACTAGTACGGCCGTCCCAAGCCGTACACTGCTCGACAGCGTTTCGCGACGAATTGGAGGTCGACGCGAACGCATCGCCCGGCATATGCCGACTTTATTAAGTTAGCGCGACAGGATCGCGGAGCTGTGCGCGCAGCTCTGTCGGACTGACACTCGAGTCGCGAGCGAGCTGCCACCCTTGCAACGTCCAAAGAGCACAATCTACGGGGGAGAGAGGTGAGCATCGAGCGTTTGGCCGTCACCGATGGAATGCCGGGGGCGCAGTGACGCTATCTGCCCCGTGGTGAACGAGGACCTACCTGTAAACAACGATGGTGACGGCAATGACGAGAGCCAAGCCGGTTCCGGCGGCCGCCCCCAGGACCGCCGACGACACCATCGTTTTCGATGCCTGGCCCGTCGCTACTCGCTCCACGACCACTCTTCGCTCAACCGCTTGCTCGTTGCCGACGCTGCTCCTTCGCTCTGCAACTGCAAGGTCGGAGATGGTTCAACTCGCCTCGGTCGGACGACGTTGCGCGCTCGTCGCAGTTCTTCGTCCGTGCGTCGCGGCACGGACTCGCGAGGCTCGATTGCGACTGATGATTGTTTGCCCGATCGAACCTGAGGCAATTGTGGCACCTATGCGAACAACGCCTCTTCCCCCACCCCACGCGGGTGTCGATCACGTCGGGGAAAACGCACGCACAGGCGACAACCGTAAGTGCGATCGCGGAGATCGCCGTCGCTCTGCGCCGGACGAAAACCACTGGGGTCTCGTTTGTATTCGAACGAGTAGCTTTGTCATCTGTCGATTTCTCGCTTTCTTTTTTTTTTTTTTTTGCAAGCAAACCCGAAAAGTGGGCGAGACTATTTTGTGTACCTCGAGGGAGGCGAGGGAAGAGATCCGGCGATCAACTGGCCGGGAAGAAGGGGAGAAAAATATGAGATGAGCGCGGACGAGGAAAACCAATCGAGCGGATGTGCGGGACGAGACTCGAGCTCCTGGCCATCGCCCAAAAAGGATCGAGCGAATTACGCCACCTCTGAGCCGTGTACGCTATTGAATCGACGGAGAAATGATAAATGCACCTTTGTTCTCGCCCTCGCGCGATTCGGCTATGCTCTTCGGGACGCGAGTCCGCTTACTTTTCACGTTTATTCCGCATACACTGCGACGAGCCCCGCGAGCGAGCGATATTCCTTTGCCGAGCTTTACGCGCTGTTTGCCTTTGGAATGGGACGAGCGCGCAAACTGCCATGACGATCGGCGCGAAAGGCAAACACTTTCGGAAAAAGAAAGTGGACGAACGATTGGTTTATTTATTTATTTTTTTGAAAAGCATACCTAAATTTACTCGTGCACGTACCTGCGCCAGTCGCGAAATCTCTCGCTGTAGTGTTTTTTTCGTTACCTTGAAAAAGCTCGCGCGGACGGTTCTCGAGCGTGTACCATATGTTTGCCAGTGAATAGCTGACAGCTGTCGGCCGCGCTGGAAATAAGATAAGCCCAGGATGAAAATCGATAGGTCGAAAGGGCCGCGTCGGCGAGGAAAGGGGCAGCGAAATAATTCACCTGCTTATCTCGCGGTACGTGGTGTGGACATGCCGCGTCGGCGATTGGATCCCGTCGCGAAGAGGAGCAGCGGGACGCGCGCGTCTTGGCCGACGTTCACGGTTGCGGGGCTCGAGTGCGACTGCGGCGGCGTCCACGAGGATGAGGGATACACATATATACGCGCACATATATATTGTTGCGCCCACGGGTTAGCGCTCGACTCCCTCTACCTCACCATTACAGCTTCTGCCTCTTCAGCCGAGAGTTCGATTTTTCACGCGCTGTCGGCTGAGTTGAAATTCGCCCTCTTTATTTGTCGAGTCACCTTTTTTTTACGCGTCGCTCGTGCACGAGAGTTCATTCCGTGACTCCTTTATCCTGTTTCACTCGTGGAACGGGGGGGGGGGGGAAGAGGATTAAGCGTAACTTGCCTACGGATTGATTGTTTTTAAATTCAAATACGGTCGAGAGCTTTTCTCTGTGCCGAGGATCATCGCACGTACCTGCGAGGTACGCGGATGGATATTACAATGGTGTCAGCTTGCCTACCGTCGGATTCCTTTCATTTTCCCCGCGAAGACGTTGCAGACGAGAAATTTCGACATTTGGATGGGAAACTTAGCCAATCGATCAGTCAATCGAACTTTACCAGCTGGATTTGTTTGCGCCAAGAATCCCACGACGCATAACTTGGCCCCGGCCTCCTGCTAATCAAGCGTCACCGATGTACCTTTCGTTCGGGACTGCGCCATATAGCCATTTGTTCTCTCGCAGACGGCTCGCGAGGGATGATGTATGCGATCCCTACCCACGGCCGCCGCCGCGGCCGTTTAGTTCGTCGGCCGAGCGTAGAAGCGCGGACTCGCCCGTATCAGGTCGCAATGCAAATCAAAAGCGCGCGTCTGCGCGAGAGGGGAAGCGCGGCGCCGCCGAGCACTTTCGGCCGCGGCGCCGAGCGATCAATCGTCCGCGATGCGCGTCGCCTCGGCGGGCGTGTGTACGTACGTGTTGCGCCCCGCGATCGGCCTTCGCGATGCCAACTCGAGCGCGCGTGCGACTCGATCGAGTCGCACGGTGAGGCCGGAGAGGCGAGAGCCGCCGACCGCGTCTCCGCGGGCGCGCTCTCGGTTTCGCTGGTCGCGCTCGGGGCTGGGGCTCGCCGCGGTCGGGGTGCAACGGCAGGCTGACATCCGATTGCGCGCGACCCATTGCCGTTGCACTGGCTGTCGGCCAATCGATGAAACTGTGCCCGCAGAGGCGACGCGTGGCGCGCGCGGCTAATTGGCGCACGCGCCCGCCTCGCGCTCGGCGCGAGTGCCGTACGTGCGGCCGACACGCGCTCGCGGGCCGAGGCTGGCCGCGGCCATGGCGCCGCCGCCAATTCGCGGAGGCGAGTGTGCGCGGCGGCGGACCAGGCCGTGGGCTCGGTGCGTCTGCGCTCGACGGCCCGTCGAGGTGGCGTTGTCGCGCTCGGGCGCCGAGGGAGTCGCTCGGACGCCCGGAGCCCGAGCGGACGACGCGCAGCAGCAACAGCAGCAGCAGTAGCAGCAGCAGCAGCAGCAGCAGCCGCAGCAGCAGCGCGGAATCGATCGTCCGGAGTCGCCGAGGTGAGTGCCGCGCGTCCACGCAGCTCGGTCTGTTTACTACGGGGCCGCGGCTGCGACTATTGATCGCGCACGTGCGCGCCTGCTGGCAGGATGACCGTGCGGGGCTGAGCGACTCGGCTGGCCGCGGACAAGCTCCACGCCGGGACATGGGCTGGGCCCTGGGCGGCTTCGGCCTCCTCGTCGTGCTGCTCATCGTCGCCGGCGCCGCCGTCGTCGTCTGCCGCAGGTAGGTTTCACTGGCGCGGGCCGCGCCAACGCTCCGCTCTCACTCGTTCGCTGTGTTGAACCCCCAACAAAGGTGCGGCGTGCAGTGGCAGTGCGGCGCCCGGGACGCGTGGATCGTCTGCGAGGAATGGCGCCGCAAAGTCGCCTGGCTGTGGGCGCCGCGCGAGGAGAAGGTAACCACGTCCGGCCGCCCTCGCGTCTCGTCTTGTTCCCCTATTCTCTCTCTCTCTCTCTCTCTCTCTCTCGCTCCAGCTGTCGCGCGGCGCTGCGTTGACGCGCTGCGGCTAATTGCAACGCTACGTCCTCCACGCGCAGCTCGACGACTCGTGGCGTCGGGGGTCGTGCTGTCGCGTTTGTTTTGCACGACCGCGCGCCACGTGCCGTTGACTTTCCTCTCGAGCGCGCTCGCGCGCGACGCACGTGCAGGTTCCCCCGACACGCTCGCGCGATGGACGAGCAGGTCGCGGAGGCTCGCGTTAATCGAAGATCGCAATCGGCAGTGCGTTGAGTTGCTCTGAGGCGGAGACCAATTTTGCAAACGCCTCACGCTCCTTTGGGCCGCCGTCGCCGTTTCGACGCGACCGATTGCCGTGGTCGTCGTTCGAAGCGCGCGACCGCGCCGCGGTTCTCTCGCGCGAGCGGGTAACCCAACGACGATTGCCGATGAACAGGTGGGCCTGGTGAAGGCCCAGCAGCCGACCGGCTGCCACGCGATGATGATGCCGGGACTCTACCGGCAGTCCAGCACCACCTCGTCCCAGTACATCATGCACAGTGACAGCGATCTTCGGCTTGACGCCCAGGGCGCCTTCACGAGGTCAGTTGCTCTCCCACTCTTTTTCCTAGCCACATCTGTCTCCCGGACGCGCAGCCTCGCGTGCATGCTCGCCTCGTTAGGCGGCCTCCGAGGCCCGGAAGAGCGTGCACTTTCCCGCGCGACGACTACGACGACGAGAGGGGGACGCCGCAGTCCTCGGCTGGCTCTCCCCGGCATCGGTGGGTCGTCGTGCGGCGCGATCTGCCGTCGCATTGGCGAGATTCAGGAAAGGAAACTGGCACGTTTGATGGTATAGCGTGTTCTCGCGGGACTCGTCGCTTCGGCGTCGAACGACCGGGTCGAGTGGTCGCCGCGAGCGCCTTGTCTCGGCCAAAGTACCCACGGCTCACGATTGCCTTGCACGTTGTCCGGCGAGTCTGCCGTTCTAAATATACATCGAAACAGCAATATTTTACAGGTATCCGCGTGATGCCGTTTCGGGCTTTAATCGATTGACTACGCAGTGCATCCGTTCGCGTCGAGATTACCCAATCCGTCCTGCAGATTTGTACAGCCGATTGGCCGTAAAACGAAAGCCGGAACATCGTTCTACGAGGGTATCTCGTCCGCTCGGAGAACGATTCCTCGCAATCCAAGTCCTCCGTGATAGTTGTATTGCCAGAGAGGAAGCCCGAAGCTCGGACAGTCAAGGCAGGAGGCTCGCGACTAATACCCTCGAACGCGCCGACGCGGTCCACAGATTCGAAGCGGTGGACCGGGACCTGCATCCGCCGAGTAGCGCGCTGGGAATGCCAGGCGTGACGCTGCACGAGACGCAAAAGCGAATCGAGCGCCAGCTGCCGATGTCGTCGGAGTCGTCGTCCGCCTCCTCGAAGACGAGAGCGACGAGGATGCCGCCGCAGCAGGCAACCCCGCCGCCGCGAGCGACGGCGCGCCCGAGGCCGTCGCCGCTGCGGCCGGCGTCGACGGTGGACTACCTGCGGCTGCGCGAGTGCGAGCCGACGCCGCCGACGCCGCCGCCGCCACCGTCGCTGGGCAAGCTGGGCAGGCATCAGCAGCAGCGCGGCATGTTCGTGTTCTCCGACGACGGCTCGCCGTCGCCGCCGCCGCTGCCGCCGCCACCGCTGCCGCCGCCGCCGCCGCCGCCGCCGCCGCCGCCGCGCGCCCCTGACGCGCTCGCCGTCGCCCTCGCCCACGCCGAGATCCTCGGCAGAAGCGGCTACGGCGAGGACGCGCAGCTGCGGCTGGAGCACGGGTGAGTGGCGGTCCGCGTCCGCGCCGACGCGCGTCGAGCCGAGAATCCAGGTCGCCGTTGGCGGGCTCGTGGCGGCGCCAGGCCAATCGACGATCACGGCCGGTGATAAACTTTGCAGTCTGCACGGCATCCCACGCATACCCACGCACAACCCGTTCGCGGAGGAGGAGGAGTCGCCAGAGGCAGCGGCAGCCGCCCCCCCGCGGCAGCACCGAATACGATACAGCGTGCAGGGCGCAGTGCTCAGCGACAGTCTGTTCGACGAGGACGACGACGGAGGCGACACGTCGCCGCCGTACGGCAGCTACGACATCGTGCAGCACGAGGCCGCGCGCGACCTCGACTCCATATTCGCGTCGCCGACGCGGCCGAGCACCGAGTCGCTGATGCGACGGCTGCCGAGCAGCCGGAACCTGCGCGATCTGGACCGGATCACGCGGTACATACAGAGCCTACCGGACAGCGCGGACTTTTACGACGACGAGGCGGCGAGCGACGAGCCAGCCAGCTCGGCCGCGCCGCCGCCGCCGCCGCCGCCGCCTGCCCCGCCCGACAAAGCCGACCAGGAGCCCACCACGGGCGAGAGGATTTTCAAGGCCCTGCGGGCCGTTACCTCGCAGAGTTACATCGACGCCAGCGAGTTTTACAAGTGAGCCGACGCCCCCCTCCTTCCTCGCACGACTGCGACCCACACACGTGAAAATTGCTTGCAGCTCGATCCTCAGCTCGGCGCAGCACGTGCAAAGCCTCGCGTTCAGCGCGCGCGGCGGCGACGCGGAGGAGGCGGACGAGGAGGAGGACGAGAAGGACGAGGAGGAGGAGGAGGGGGAGGAGGAGGAGGACGACGACGAGGAGGAGAACCCCGGTTTCGCGAACCTCGCCGCGAGCGAGACGCAGCAGCCGCAGCCGCCGCCGCGCAAGTCGTCCGCCGACCTGTACAGCGCCGAGCTGAACCAGGCGGCCCAGCGCACCGCCCAGGAGGTCTGTCTCGCGCGAGCGCGACGCTCGAGGCGGGCCGCTCGTCTGACCGTCTGCCGCTCGCGCAGGTGTACAAGAGCCTCCAGGACCCGCCGGCGTCGCCGCTGCTGCTGAAGGACGCCGAGCAGCAGGCCTACTCGGCCTACCTGCAGGCGGACCCGAGCTTCACGCGCACCTCCGAGGACATATTCAAGAGCCTGGAGCAGCGCCGCAAGAGCGTGCTCAGCGACGTGCTCGAGCTGGAGGCGTGCGAGTCCGAGCGCCGGCGCAACAGCCAGGAGCTGCTGAGCGCCCTGGAGGAGGTGCAGATGAAGCGCCGGCTGTCGCAGCTGTTCGACGAGCAGCCGCTGGACGAGGTGCTGCTGGGCGGCGCCGCGCGCCGCGGCTCCCTCGACTCGCTGCTGCAGGACGTCGAGGACCTGGCCAGCCTGCGCCGCGCCGTCAGCTGCGAGAGCGTCTGCTCCGACACGAGCGTCAGCCTCAGCGAGGAGGCGCGCGTCGTCGGCCTGGTCTGCGTCGGCCTGGAGCACGACCGCTACCCCAACTTCAACGGCGACTCCGACCTCATCGTCAGCGTGCTGGAGGCGCGCGACCTCGTCGCGCCCGACGGCCGCGCGGCCGTCAACACCTTCGCCAAGGTCTGCCTGCTGCCCGACCGCGACAACTTCGCGCACACGCGCCTCTACAAGGACACCAACTCGCCGAGCTACCAGGAGAAGTTCTACTTCTCGCTGAACGGGCCGCCGCTCGGGCGCACCCTCCTCGTCGAGGTCTTCTCGTACGAGCTGCCGAGCAACGGCCGCCTGCCGGCCGAGGCCAGCCCGCTCGGCGAGGCGCAGCTCGGGCTCAGCCCCAGCCCCAGGCCGCCGGCCACCACCTGGCTGCCGCTCGTCTGCCCGGCCACGCCGCGCCCCGTCCTCGGCGAGCTCATGTTCTCGCTGTCGTACCTGCCCACCGCCGAGAGGCTCACGCTCGTCGTCGTCAAGGCGCGCAACCTGCGCGGCGCCGCCGAGACGCCCGGCGACTTTTTCGTCAAGGTGAGCGCTCCGTCGCGTCGGCGTCTCTTCCGCGCGAGACTGACGGTCCCCTCCGTGCGCAGGTCTACCTGCTGCAGCAGGGCAAGAAGCTGCACAAGAAGCGCACGACGATCAAGCGGGGCGAGAAGAGTCCGATCTTCAACGAGGCCATCGTCTTCGGGGTGCAGGCCCACGCGCTGCAGGTAGGTAGCGCTCCGTCCGCCCCGGTCCCGGCGGCCCAGCTCACGCCCCCTTCCGGCTCTTCTCTCTTGTGCGCAGAACGTCCAGCTGCGGCTGACGGTGGCGGAGGTGAGCAGCGACGTGAGCACCAAGGCCTACGCGGTCGGCCACGTGATCGTCGGCGCCACCGCGCCGGGCCGCGCGCTCTCGCACTGGCGCCAGATGCTCGCCTCGCTCAGACGCCCGGTCGCCATGTGGCACCCGCTGCGCAAGTAGACGCCCGGACTGCTGTTGTGTTTTTGTTTCGCCGTTGTTTCTTGTTGACGAAAAGGAAAGAAAAAGGAAAAAAAAAAAAAAATAAAAAAAATAACAAATTAAAAAGGAATAAAATAAAAGTAACGATGGCCGCGCGTCGTCGCGTCCATTGGCGGCCGATGCTCTGGCGGCTTTGTTTCTCGACTCTTCTTTGTCACTCGTCGCTGCGCTTCCAACTACGAGGGGGCGGGAGGAAGAGGAAGGCCTCGATCGCACGTGCTGGCGGCGGACTTGGTTGTTTGTCAATTATACCCGATTACAGAGACTCGAGAGAAGTGGGCGATTAGCGTGGACGTCGAATTCGCGCTCGGATGTACTTTTTTTCTCTTTTGCGCGTCATCTGTCAGATCGTTCGCTCGCGCGCTTCGTAACGACGCTCCTCGCCCGTCGAATTGCGCGTTCACACTCGCAATTTGGATACTCGCGCAGCTGCGACTGAACAATACCATGAATAGTAGTATGTTGCATACACTCATCTTACCGCCCCCCCCCGGCTTTACATAGGCGGAGAACCGTTGAATAATTCACGCGCTCGTTCGCGTTGCGTGTGATTTGAAAATCAAATTCCTGCAAGACTTTGTGTCCAAAATGCCTAAAGAGAAGGAGAGAAAGAGAGAGAGAAGAGAAGATGCGATGCTTTGATGTTCGCGACATTGCTATTTTTGATTGTATTATTGACGAGGAAGAAGCAGGATGCGGAAGTGTTCGCTCGGCGGATTTTCCGCCGTTCCACTTTTCGTGCAAAAGTGCGTAACAGTGATTTATTTTTTGTTCGAAAAAGGGTGTTTATCGTGAAATCCTGTTCCTCTTCCCTTCGCATGGCCTTGAGATGAATTTAACTAAATAACTTTTATACCTTTTCGCACTAAATTATATTTAACGAAGAGACGGAAGAATGCACGAGTGACGCAAACTTGACTTACAATCAGCTAAAGAGAAATGCATTATTTACAGATCAACTTTCAATATGCGATTGTCTCTCACGTCTATCATTCGCGCACGCACTTTCTTACGGGGATCGTTGGGAATAAGTAAAGTATCAAGTTTCAATCGATGAGATCGAAGAGGCATTCTATCGCACATTTTTTGGAAATCAAACTGAATTCTCTCATCTCGTTGTCCCCCGGTCAAAAGATTTCTCCCGACTCTTTCACTGTAACTTCGTAAGCGATAAGATAAAACAAAAACTGCATAACTAAGATATATAAAATGAACCGAGTACCTGCGTATTTTTATCTGAAAACTAAAAAAAAAGCAAACAAAAGCGCGTCAAATTTTCTCGTACAGAGGCGATCATGTATTTACGCTTGTTATTCAATTTCGTTGTCGGTGTATTAACAAGATACCCACCCACGTTGCAAATTTTACGTTTTAGCGAAATGATGTTTAGCCAAAAATGGATATAAATGGCTTTGCTGTGCCGATATAAATAATATGCATACATTAGGAAGAATACGACAATAATAGTGCCGACCGAGATATTGTTTTTCCGTTGTTAAAACAAAATGAAAAAATGCCATATCAAAAAAAAAAAAAAAATAAATAAATAATAAAGCATGATGTACGTTCGTTGATTATTAGCACAAGAGAATATATACCGAAAAAACCATGTTACAAACGCAGATACAAAAAAAAATATATATATATATATAAAAGAATTATATACGCAACAAGTGTACTTTTTGCGCGTACGTATACCGATACATATATAAATTTCCTTCCTAAAATAATAGGTGACGATTCTTTCAGATCGATTGCTTATATTATATATTTTGCTGGCATTGTTTTTTTTTCGCCACGCGAGCGTCTTCATTGTGTGTTTGAAGTATTATTTTTGTTACGCCTGTCTGTGATACTATAAGGGCACAGTATATACCATTATTCTCTGTATAATCCATAGTTTTTGATCCCGTGATCGACGACGATACAAAGAAAAATACATGTAAAAAAATAATTTAAAAAAATGAACCTTGTAACGTGTGACCGTATAATGCATATGTGAAATAAAACATTCATACCGTGCTCTTCCTATACGTAGGTATAATGAAAATAAAAACCTTGTCGACCCTTGCAGAAAAAGTTTTTCAAATTACTTTTTCGTTGAGTGACTTTACAAAAAACCACTCGCCACGCACTTTTATGAAATTCATGCGACGTATTATGTAAAAATCACGCATGCATTAACGTGTGCGATGATATTGTATATAATTATGTAAAATTTTCGAATTAATTATGTATACAATGTGCAGCCCGTAGACAAACACGTGCACAATTTAGAGTGAGAATGCGAAGAAAATTCTTTGGTTTGCGTGTTCTTTACTTCATCGCGAAACAAAACGAATAAATGAGATCAATGCACACACAAATATCCGATTAAATTGCAAGCGATTACATCGCGGCAAAAAGAGACTCATCGAATTATCAAATCTGATGCACGAAACATACAATTGTTTGACAAACTTTTTCTAAATGGGACATTTCTGTCAGTATAACCGAAAACTGATCATCTACTTCAGCGATTCTCGATTTTCAGAAGTTGCGATAAAATAAAAAAGAAAGAAAATCATTGAGATTTAGGAAATGATACTATAAGAATTACTAGTTATGACCTCTGCGCGGTCGCTACGATATATACACCTGTATGTGAGTACATGTAAATTATAAAAGGGCAAAAAAAATATTATACATCGTCGTTGTTATTCATCGTTACACGATTCTATTTACAAAAAGCTCGTTTAATGATATACATATATGAAGAATATACATGCATATACGTATGTATATGAAAATATATTTGATTTACAAAAGAAAAATAAAGAAGATTCTGTGTTGGCTTTCAATAACCCACTGCCTAGCTGAGAGTATAAGGTAAAGGATAACAACTATTGGTTTTTTGATAAATATATCACTTTAATTATCATCGCCACTCGTCGATCGATATCGTTCAACATGATAAAATATTTTTTCTTTTTAAATTAACTTAATCATTTTATATAATATATTAGATGCTAAGGGATTTAAACAAAATTGGACCCACGAGCAATTACCGTAATTGCTTCCATTCCATCAACACTATGCAACGCATATTATATCGTGGAAAAATTGACAGTCGATATTAGTATATTATCATCATCATTACAATTGTTTCAACGTGATAGAAACATCAAGGGATATATGATGTAGGCAAGTATGTTTATGATAAAGATTCAATATTTTTTCTCTATGATATAAAAATAAGACTACGCAATCTAAATTAAAACAGTTCTTTTAAGCATTGTTTAAAATTGAGAAGATCAGATATTTTTGTTCAAAGTAAATTAAAACTATTTTTAAAATTTCTTTTTTTACATTGATTTCTTGAACGATGCACACGAGACCTCAGAAATAAATCTAATGTAGGCTTAAAATATAAGTTACTCTAAACGTGTTAAAGTCTAATAATAAAATTGCACTTGAATTTTCAAAATTAAAATTTAATAATCATTAAAATCATTACTTCAAAGAATAAAAATACTACAATTGTTTTGTAAGAATGATAATGGATTTTCTCACTTCAGGCTCGAATAAATTAAAATTTTCTTGCCATGAAATTTTAGCACATTAAAGTATTGACACAATTAAATTTCACTAATTTAACGTTCAACAATACGCTGATAAAAAGTTCAACGCTTTTACATTCTCACGAAATAGAATAGAATTCTTCACTAATTAAACAACATTTTCACTCGATCCATTACTACGCGGAGTCATCAAATAAAAATAAAAATGTGAAAAAACAAATGATTCACGAGTAAGCTCGGCTCTCTCGATGGGTAGATATAGAAGTAGGGGAAATACAAATTGTCGGACGGGCGTAAAAAAATAGTGAAGAAATTAAATAATATCATCTATGTACAGTATTTGAACGACGCGCGAGCGCGTCGTTGGGAAGACCTTGTCACTGGTGTCCAGGCGACGAAAGACGTCTGTTTGGATATGGATTTTGCAAAAGTCGCGGTGAGCACTCGATCACCCTGAGAAGTAGACCATCGATGTAATCTTCAAGGTCGTGCAGTCGTTTTTTCTTATCAGCCACGTCACGTTGCAACTGCATCACCAACTCGATCAAATCCTGTAAAAAATCGACGGATGCGCCAATATATATTTTAGTAGCTGTAGTATGGGATTTAGAAAGTTTCGCGGAAATCAAACGGGTTCGCGGTTGTTCGCGCGCGTGACTTTCACCGTGGACGTCGTTTTTGGCGTCGAGTAATTGATTTCCGTGCGCGTGTATGGTTATGCTGTTTATCGAAGGGGAAATTGAAGTTTCCAAAGCGCAATGAAAGTATACGAGGCCAATCATATAAAGCTTTATCGACGTTTTATCAATGATACTCGATCAAACATTTTGCGTTTCTTTGGTATAAATATTCTTAAAAATAATCATTAATTAGTTTGTAATAAAAAAAAACCTATTTACTTCCAGTGTGAAGCTTTGATACATTCTTGCGTGGGCATTGAATGACCCATAAAATACGATGATCTACTGAGTCTGATAGCCGTCTACCCACCGAACTCACCGTTTTGAACTACGACGAAAATTCTTATAAAAATTCTCACCTCTCTGGATTTACCCTCGAACTGTTCAACAATTTCTCTTGGCAATTTGACACGTTGTGAACTATTGACTTTGTTATTTTCAATGATTTTCGTCTCTTCGCCACCAATGATTATTCTCTCGGACGAAGATTTATTGTTTTTCTCTTTCTTCTTGTCGTGCTTCTCGATTTCCCTGCTGGGTGTGATTTTGTATTTGTTCTCTTTTTCTTTCTTATTGCTCAACATCTGCTGCTGCTGATTGGTAATCTCACCGCGTAACCGTGTTATTGGCGAGTTGCTGCGTTCCAATGAGTCTGACTTGTTGATAGCTTCGCGGGGCTCCTCTATCACGATTTTTGGACTCATTCGCTTGTTTTCCCACCTGCAAATTCATGTCACTATGGTAAACATTGTAGAGAGTAAATTATTGACATGCAAAAATCCGCAAGCAACGGTTTTCCGGTATCTTAACCGTCTTTCGCAACGCCTTAATTTGACGCTAAGGTAATTCATCTCATCAACGTACGAGACGCGCTTCGCAGCTGTTATTACGTAAGTAAAAATGCTGACTCTTCGAAACTCGTTAATGTTTGCCAGGCAGTAATTTAACTATAATTAGCTTTTTACGACGCTATCATGTAAATTCCTTTTTAACGAATCCATCAATCAAGTGACCAACCTCTTGAGCGCATTGCCAGTCTGTATACCGTAGAGCTTCTGTCCCCACTCATCCTCGGGCGCTGGTGGATGCGGTTTAGCTTCGGTTTTGGGACTACCATTGCCAAGAGCGAATCGCGGTGGTTTCGGTGGCGTCTGCTTGCCGACAGGTTCGTTATTAGCGGTATCCGCGCTGGCGTTACGACTGTTATTCTCGTTGTTCTTGTTCCATGTGCTATTACTAGTTGTGGTGTTGTTCGCCGCCGGCGCCGAGAAGTTTAATGACGATGTCGAGCTCTTGTGCGACAGGTCGTCGAACTATGGAACATTGAAAGGCATGGATGTTACGTTACGATAAGTTTTCCCTCTCCGCCCTAGTTAATTATGATAATTCTTTGGTTTCGAGGTTGAAGGCCGTTGTGATATTGTTTCGCGGTGTATTACAAAAACCGTAATTGATGTTTTTCTACTGTCGTTGCGATTGGATGTATCCGATTGCAACTAATCGCTGATTAATAACTATTATATGTAAATATTATTGTCGTTCTCATTGATAATTGTTAATTGCGTTGAAACTAATAATATTTCGAGAGAGAAAACGGTTCAAATAATAACAGGCTGATTGTCCATCAGTTTTAAAACCACATTCACCAATGAAAAAATACAATCATATTTTGAAATATCATCGATTGCCGTCAATAGAGTTACTTCATACACACTGTTGTAAAGGAATGCTCGAATTCGCATCAATTGCAAAGTGATGCAACGCTGCTCAGCCGATACGGACGGTAAAAATAAAAAAAATGCTCACCGTGAAGTCGTCATCTTCGTCGCTGACAACACCAGGATCAGCCTCGCCGTGCTCTTGTCCAGCCGTTCGTGGCCTTTCTCTGACCCTGAACTCTTCCTCGTCACAGATGTCGTCCAATTTGCTTTTACTGCGACTCTTCCCCTTGACTTTACTTCCGATCGACTTGGCTAGTTTTTTCAATCCTTTGCGCTTCTCGAGGCTGCCGATACTGAGCAAACTTCCGCCGAATGATTGCGCCGCCGACGACAGTTGGCCCAACGAACTTTTGTGGCGCTCCTTTTTCGTCAGGTCGGTCAAGCTTCCCGCGCGCACGATAAACACGATGCGCACTTCCAACTTGCCGCGCTCCTTCGTGTTCTCTTTGCCTGGCTTGCTTGTCAGCTCGTACCTGCGTGCGACGAGATATTTGCCGTTTATTTTCTTTGCAGCTTTCGCGCGTTTAACGCCGACATCGGTTGATCGGCTTTCCGATGCTGTGCCTGTTATTTCGCGTTCGTGGATGTTAACTTTTAAAGCATACATTCGCTCGATACTTCAAGATTTTGTTGTTGTTTATCGTTCCGAAGCGGACATTGATAGGTTTCGGCATCTCGCACGAAAATGTAACATTGCAAGTTTCGAATAAACTGGTTTCGCGATTACGATCAAGTTGAAAATAGCAAACGTTTTTATCTCGAATGGAAACGTATTCTTTGCCGTGCTGGACTGCTAAGTCCAATATTTTTTTCGAGCAAGCGTACGGTACGCTTCCGTGTTTCTGAATAAAACTTATCGTACGTGATTCAACGAAGGAGCTAATCGTGAATCATTCGACGAACCTGTCCCATTCAAACGAAGCGATACTTTTCAAGCAGTGTACACAAAATTAAACGATGCACACCGGTCGCCATTATTAACTTTGCGCCTGCTTCAACCAAGCGACATTTCATCACCGTCAGTGACAGTTTAACCGCGTTAGATACGAGTGAAAAAAAATAATATTCCTTCGAAAAAAAATACAACCGCAAACGCTAAAAATAAAACTTGTCGTACTCGCGTAATACACAATGAAACAATCGCACAGTAAACAGCACGCGCACTCGGTAATTTCAATGCCACCCAAATAACACTCAGCAGAAAAAAACAAAACATTTTCTTGTTTTTAGTCGAAACACCAACAGACCTACTTTCGCGTGCGCGCGCGCGCGACAAAAATTAGCCGACGCGCGCAGCGTTGATAAACACGAGCAGCTGACGCTTACCATCTGTTCTTGGGCAACTCGTAGATGTCCAAGCTGGCCAGCGGTATGCGCACGGTGCCGAGAAACTCGTCGACGCTGAGGAAGTTCCTGTGCAGCGCCGTGAGCACGATCTCAGCGGTGTTACCTTGCTCCGGGATCTGCAGCTCGCATTCCTCGTGCCACTCCACATTCTCGCTGGCTTTTTCCTTCACCGACGTCTGGTACTTCTCTTTGCCAAGGGCGATCGTCACGAAGCAATCGTTGGTCTCTGTCGACAGTTTTTTCGATGCAGTTCCAGCGGGAGGACGGAGCGCGCGGCGAAATAAATTACATAATGTCAACAAGCCGCGAGCGCGCGCGTACAATAAGCCTCCGAGCTCTTAGACTAATTGAGCTTTGTCGTCTTCGCGGTCTGACTCATAATGTGTCATTCGCACACACTGATAAACGTCATCGAACACGACGCGTCGAGCTCCCAAATCGTTCTCGAGGTGCAAAGACAACAAAAAAACAAAAAGAAAAAAAGACAAGGAAAAGAACGTCGTACGCAGCGTCCGCCTCAATTACGCTTCTTCAAAGCGTCTTTCTCCTTTCTTTCTCATCACGGAGTAGCGGTAAGCCGCGGGCGAAAGTATGTTAACTCTCGTGTGTGCGCCGCGCGCTCGACCTCCTTCTCAATTAGATGCAGACGCGTTTTCATATCACTTTCGCACAGCGCGCGAAAAAAATACGCAGGCGAGTACTCACTATTTTTCCCTTTGGTTAGGAGGCCCTTGGCACGTTGAACTGCAACACAGAAGTGAGAGAGACAGAGATAAACAACACACAATGGCGTGAGAGCCGTGGTATGTAAATAACTGGTGGGGAGTCGTTACGGTACTTTGCGCTCGTCTGCGAGTCACCTTTTTCTCGTGTGCAACGATGTATGTGTATATATTTATTGGTTAAATAATCGAGCAGCGCAAGGACGATTGACAACAAAGAGAGGATTGGATGACGTCGGCTGTGCAGGAAACCGTGGACTTACCAATGACCTGAACGTGCGTGGGGCTCCACATGTCTGCGAAGCAGTCCTTCCGCAGCTCACTCACGCGCTGACTGACAACTCTTGCCGATGTCTGTGTGCAGGTATGTCTCACGCGCGCGCGCTCTCCTCTCTCTCTCTCTCTCTCTCTCTCTCTTTCTCTTTTGTTAAGGCTTCCACGGCGCACCTTGTCACGCGCACAGGTGCGTAGCCCCACTCCAGCGTCGCCCCTCGGCTCCCGAGTGCACCCGCGTCGATTTTGGCCGATCCTTTACGCAAACGTAGTTGTTGCAGCTGCAAAGTCGCCCGCGCTATTCGCGAGTGAAAGTGTGTCGGGGCTATGTGTTGGTGTGCACACGGCGGGCATCGGTATTCCGATGACTAAAGCACGAGCTCGTGGCGTGCAGTAACGTGTCGTCGAGTTGGAGCAGGAACGATAAAGCCGCCGACAAGCGTGTACACTCGCTCCGAGGTGTACACACGTTAGTGCGGAGGAGATACCGAGTGCGCTGCTGCTCGCGCGCGGACACAGGATAGTCGTCGTCGTCGTCGCGCAGTCGGTCGCACGTGTGCCGCCACCGCCTTGCCGCATCGCCGCAGGTGCAGCATCAGGAGCAGGACTGCCGTGCGCCGCACGCACACACGGACGATCGAGAGAGTCGCTAGCAGCCAGCAGGCGAGGAAGATGGAGGCTGGGCGACCGAGCGCGAGGCTCTGCCACATCGTCAAGTGGGACGACTTCGACGGGTACGGCTTCAACCTGCACGCGGAGAAGGGCAAGAGCGGCCAGTTCATCGGCAAGGTGGACGAGGGCTCGCCGTCCGAGGCGGCTGGCTTGCGCCAGGGCGATCGCATCATCGAGGTCAACGAGATCAACATCGCCAACGAGACGCACAAGCAGGTGGTCGAGCGCATCAAGGCCTTCCCCAACGAGACCAAGCTGCTGGTCGTCGATCAGGCCGCGGACGACTACTTCAAGGCCGGCAACGTACCGATCAAGGGCACGATGCCCGGCGTCGAGTACCTCAAGACGCCCGAGCGCCAGCCCGTCGACGAGCCCGACCAGAAGAGCAACGGCAGCAACAAGACCTCGGTAAGTCCGCCGCCGGCCGCCTTGCCTCGCGACCCACGCCCTTTCGGGAAAGTTCCGTCTCCCAAGAGAGCGAGAGAGTTTATCTTATCGTGGGAATGCGCTACCGTGGTGGTCGTCGCCGCTCGGTCGATAAATCGCACGCCCGATTGCGCAACCGGCCCGTCCTGACCGCGCACGCTCGCTCTCGGTCACGAGTTCTCGATATACACAGGCCGCTCGTCGGCACTTTGTTCGCAGGACACGCACTCGATCTCGTCGAACGAGCAGCCGCAGTCGGAGAACGGCGACCACGCCAGCATAGACACCAGGTCGATCGACAAGCCGCAGCAGCAGACCAACGGCAGCGCTGGCACCCTGAATTTGGCCATGAGCGCCAAGGAGCTGAGAGCCAAGCTGGCCATGCGCAAAAAGTACGATCCCAAGAAGGAATCGCTCGGTTTCAAGGACAAATTCGACATCGTGCAGAAGCTCTAGTGTTGTAGCCCGTAGTTCGTAGCTTGTATATCAGTGTGTCATCATCAAATTCCTACTCCCCCGTTCTTCATTTTGCTAATTGCCCCGTTTTATTTTCCTCTCTTTGGTTGTGAATCCGCTTTAAATCGAGCAACAAAAGAAAAGAAAAAGAGAAATCGAGAAATTGGACAAAACGATCGCGTAAATAATTGTTATATACTCTTGTATTCATTGTTATATTAATTGTATTTTTTTCTTGTTGTACGTTGTAAATGTATATATAGGAGCCGTCATGTCGCGCGTCGTGAATGTATGCTAAATTTCCTTGTACTTATCGTGTATCTCTGTATTATCGCGCGCAGCGATGATTAATATTATTTTTTTTTATGATGATTCGGAATCGTTTTTCTCTCTCCACTCGACCGATAAAGCAGCTGAGCTCTGTTTACGTATGGTCCACAAGCCTGTGGCGCCATCGACCGTGATGTGCGTTTATTAGTGTCATAGTGATAGTAATAGTCGCGAAGAGAGCGAGAGACTCCCGTGGGAAGCCGCACACACGCGCACGCACACACATTTCATGTATTATTATTCGTTATAAAACGATAACATGCATTATAAATAAAAGAACTTACAATTCCAAACCGCGCGACTGTTTTGTCCACTTGTCCCTCCATCCGTGATTATCGACCAAGGGACGAAAAGGAGCCAACGAAAAGGAAGAAAAGAAAAGGAGAGCGGCGCTGCTCGACGAGACGAATGCGCGGGGGGCCCCGCGGTGCACAAAGGCCGCGGGCGGCATGGCACACAGCGGCTAGGAGCATCGCCGAGAGTGCGAGCGAGACGCAGCTACACGGCGGCTGGACATATATGGTTGGCGCTGGCCGGCTGCTGCTGCGAGAGCGAGAGCCCCTCTCAAGTTACGCTCGCTCGGCGGCGCGCGCGCGCCGACACGAGTGCTCCTCGCCCCGCGACTCCGCGCCACGGCGCGGCTGCCCTCGCCGAAAGGATGCGCGCGCGAGAGATTATCCGCGGAGCGCGCGCCGCCGCCGCCTCTTGCGCAACCGCGCCTACGTTGCCGCGCCGACTCGACTGCCCACCCGAGCCTCGGCTTGGCCGCAAACTCTTCCGCGAGGGAACGGATCCGTGCGCCACCGTCCCGTCCACTGTCGACTGCGAAATCGTCGAAATCGTCTTTCGGAACGCGATCGCGATCGTCGCTGTCGGCGAGAGGCGCGCCTCGGGATTGCCTTGCCTCAAATCGGACCGACGCTCGACACCCGAGAGAGTTCTCTCCGTCGCGCCGTCTAAAATAAAAATCGGATCGAATTAGCGGGCGATATTTCGCGCGCGGATCTTGTTTTCCACTTGTATTTTTACTTGGGAAAACAAGAGACCGACCGTCAAAAGAAAATGCCCCGTCGGGCTTGCCCGGATAAACAAACAAACGGGCAACGCGCGTGCCTCCGCCGATCGGTCGACGGCGAGCGCGGCGCAGGTGAGAATCGTAAAGTTTAACACGCCCGATGTTTATAGCCAGAGCCGACCTCAATCCACTTCATAAGTGACCTTGCATAAATATACTGCCGCCGCCGCTGTACCACCTGCGCGCGCGTAAAGCTCGGAAAGTGCAGCGGAGGAGAGCGAAAGCTTCGGCTTGGGACGGAAAGAACGAGCGTGGGCGTCGCGCGTTGTTTCGCCCTCCACTCCCCCCCCCCCTGCCCCTCCACGCACGAGGAAAAGAAGCATTCCTCGGGCGTTTCGACTGTATTATATAGGCGGACAAGCTTATCCTGTCCTCGCACTCATAATATCTATTTCCAGAGCGAGCCGGGGCTTAATTTTAGCGGCGGCTGTTCCATATACCCGCAGCGCCACGGCGAGCTCGCTACTTATCCACCGACCGCGCGCCCGCCGAAAACGCGTCGAACCTTTGTCGCCCTTCCGCCGGCGGCCGGCCGTCGCGAGCGTGCCAAGCTGTTTACGCCCCCGCGCTCGCCGCCAAACGTTACGATATCCCGCTCGGCGACGACGAGTCGCCTCCGCCTCGGGCAGCGCCGAGTCGCGCTTATCGCCTTGCGCTCGCTCGTCATTGGCCCTAATCGCTCTGCCGTCGAGATCGGGCTTGGTTTTGGCAAGTGGCAGGGGGACGCCGAGCGCGCGGCTATTACGCGATGAAATCTCGAGTGGCCGGAAATCGATTCGATACGCGGAAAAATAATATTTGGCGCGTTCGGATCCCGGCGAGCGAGAGAGAACGCCTCGATTGGGCGACCGGTCTATTTCCGTGGTATCAGCGTCGGCGGCGAGTGTTGAAAAAACAGTCGATCTCGGACGATCGATCGCGAGAAGGGAAGCTTCGATCGGTTTTTCCGGTCGTCGTCTATTCTCGAGCGACGTCCGCTCGTCCGTCCGCTCGCCGATATATTTTCTCCGCGAGCGAAACGCGCTCACCTCGAGATTCCGCGCCCGACGAGCAAACAAACAACCCTCCCCCGGCACTCGCGCGCCTTTGATCTCTCGCGCAGCGGGGGCATTCGATCGTGGGACCGTAGGTCGGAGGCCGAACGCAAGCGAGACAAGTCTCGATGAAAAAGTGCGGGCTCCTCGAGGGAATTTCTCGCGGGAGCTAAAAGTCGTCGCGTTTCAGAGACGCAAAGCGCGCCCACGACAGCAAAAAGACTTTCGAGTGTAAAATACCGATCGTTGCAATTGCTCGGGTTTCTTCAGTAATCTTCGCAGAATTTCACGCAGATCTCTTGATTCGCTTCTCTTCGCTGTTTGCTTTCGCGATAGACGATGATAAGAAAATCGTTTGTTAATTGTTTCTCGCGAGGTGTATCATTTTTTTTCTACGTGACACAGTTTCGCGGCGGATGAGAATCGATAGGCGCAGCCCGAATAAGTTGAGCAATTTTTATTTTAGAGGACGATTAGTCACGCCGTGAAAATGCTGTTTCTGCTCCAATCCTTTAAGCGAATCAGTGTCATCGTTATATAAAATTGAACACTTTTTATATCGGCAATTTATTTTTGCAGTCAATGATTCATTCGATATTGAAAAATATTTCACTCTGCTCTTGAACTACATCGTTGCGAAACGACCGTTTTTCACGTTTGAAAGTCAGATATTTCGAATGTCGGATGCGAATGAAAAATCGCCCGTGCAATATTGTCGAAAATTTGTCAAAATTCAAGTTGCCCCCCGAATTCTATTTCACTTTCACTGTACGCGTTTGAACGCCACCTTGCCTTTTTCAATCGCATGCCTTGCAATTAATAAGGACTTATCATTAAGATAAAGAGAAAAATTGAAGGTGTGATTTAAAAAATTTGCTATCGAAAAGTAGGCAGCGAGCGATCAACAGTAAACAGCCAACAGACGCGGCAACAATACGTGCACACGTTCAACAACGTACAGTTGTAGAATCGCAGATGCGAATAATAGACCATTATTCACTCTCTCTCTCTCTCGCAAAAGCTCAACAAACTCATCAAGCGGCTGCGCAAAAAGTCTGCATATATATCGCTGCACTGCACCGCGGCCAAACGTAATAATGAGTGGCGAGAATGACGAGTGCCCGGAGCGCGTCAGATACACATATGAATTCCTCTCTCTCTCTCTCTCTTGCGCGCGCGCGCGGAGAGAGAAGGGGCCAAACAGGTAAAGATAGAGTCGCGAGTGACGAGGCCCGATTATATTTAGAAATTCATCGGCTCGCCAAACCCCCAAGTTCGCGCTCTCGCTGTTTCGCTCTTTTGAAGCTTCGCGCGCACTCCTACACGACTCTTTTCTTTTTTCTTTTTCGTGTTGCGCCGCGAGGACGTCGAGCGCTCCTCGGCGGAACACTCGTCGGGGCGTTCGGTCGTACGCCGCCGCTCTGACTTTTACGAGCGGACGAGCCAGTAATTGATTCATTCCCGATGCGGCGATCGACGCTGTTCGTTATTTTTGGGAAAGCGGGATCGGATCGGCGGGGACTCGCTCGGTGTCTCGCCGCTTTTTCGAGGCGTTCGACATGCCAACGGATCGCCAGAAATACGCCCCAAAACAACATGTTTCGCGAACGATCATGCAGCCCAGTTATTTTCGCGCGTTGTTGCACGGACGCGGCGCCGGCGCGAGCCACGTCAAGAATGCCGAAGCCTTTGAAATATTTACGAGCGCTCGCGATGCGCGGAATTTCGTTAAACGCTCGTCGTTCGAGGATTAACGATCTCTCGGGGCGATTTCGCGTGTCGTCGAAGCGCGCGCCTCGGGCCCTGCAGCCTGCGCGCCGCGGATCGCCGGATCGCGCGCTTCGGCGTGCGTCGAGCGAGCGCCGTTCGGTTATTTTTACGAATGAATTTTCCGCTGCTGCGCGTCCACCTGCGAAACCTTGTTTGTTGTCCGAGCGGCGAGAATTGCGCCAATATATATTCGCGACGATTTATTTTCATTAACGCGTCGTTCTCGTTACAGCTGCATTCATTGTTGAAAATATTTCGTCTAACGTTACATCATTATAAATACACGATGCGTGCGCGCACGCGTGTGTGTTTGAGCAATGACACAAATTTTCGGAGCCTTTTGACAAATAACACGCGTCTCCGATTCGAAGGGAGCTACGCTAAATATTCTCACGGATGAGTTCAAAATAATCAATTTCCGCACTATCGATCTTCGAAATCTAGCCTCGGCTACGGCAATAATCAGACTATAAATTGCTCGGTAATTCAAAACAGAAAACAACGACCAAAATCGTACTCACCGCGTTACCGTGACTCGTTCAATTTACATAATATATTTATCGATCGAAGTATCGTCGTATCGCGAGCATCGCACTTCTCATCAATGCATAAAAAGAAAATTATTTGGCAGGGGTAGAAGACTTTGGCAAAGAATAACCTTATGATTCAATGGCTCGCGGATATCGGCGCGAAGCTCGTAGCCGATAGATTATACAGTGAGAGAGAGAGAGAGAGAGAGAGAGAGAGAGAAGGGAGAGAGTGAGCTTGCGGAGTAGGAGAAGCGCAGCTTGCGAAGAAGCAGAGAGAGAGAGAGAGAGAGAGAGAGAGAGAGCGGAAAAGTGGTGGAAGCGTTTTTGAGATGGAGAAAGAGATTTAGCCTGGTTAGTTGACGCGCGGGGCCCCGCCGACGAGAGGCGTTTCAAACATCGCTCGAGAGTGAGAGCCGAGCATCAGAAAAAAAAAAGAACGACGACGACGACGACGACGACTCGACGAGCCCACGGTTGTGCGATCGAATAGTGTACATACTCGTCACTTTCTTTAATTTTTTTTTTTTTTTCGCTTTTTTGCCCGCGATCACGCTCGCCATCGCGCGCGGCTACTCTCGGTCGTCGGGATGTAATTAATCTCGCTCTTATTCTGCTTTCATCGGTCGTCGCTGCGACCTTTCCCGTTCACCAACGACGATGTCACGCAGTGTATAGCCTGGCTGGCTACTCGAAAGTAAGTGCGATTACCGAGCAAAGTGCAGGTGCCAGTGTGAAAGAGAAAAGGGTGAGAGATATCTGTAT